TCTCCAGTAACCAAATATATCCGTATTCATATTCTCTCATAAAGGCGTAAGCGCCAATTTAATGATGCAAATGGTTTGTTTGACTTGTATTGTAGATGATATCCATAAACATGTGGCCAGTTCTGCACGGCTGGACCTTCTAGATGTTGCAAAATGATGACCAAAATTCAAATTGCTAATGTAACTCTTGATGAAAAATCACAAGGGATCATTTTTTCTTAAATTTATGGCTCCAATAACTGAGTTTAAATCATATCTTTCATAGTCGCTAGTTGTGCTCTGTTATTCTTAAAGGCCACGATTAGCTCGAGAGATAACGAGATTCTCTCTAGTGAGCAACGTCAGTAAACTATTGAGACATAATTCCAATTTATAAGAAACCGTCATTCTCCTACTTAGTTATCCAGACTCTTCTGTGAGGTATGACCGGTCAAGAACGGAAAAGCAACCTCAACTGATTCATTGGTCTTCTAAAGAAAAACTTTAGGCTAGTAGTTATTGGGAGACTTCAGGCTAATAGAGGAACACTACGGATAGCTACTCCCCTGGCGATGCTAGCGACACCATCAGTGTAAGTAAGTAATTTCAGGAGCGAAATAATGTTCAGAAACGAAAAAAACTAAAGAAAACCCGAATTTTACGTCCAACGACTGTCTCTAATGAAGATTATAGTGCATGTGTTCAATGAGTAGTTGCTTGCATTACATTGCAAAGGGTAATTTTAATTGAAAATGTGGCCGTCAAGCAAAATTGTTTTTATGAAACATATCAAACTGGATCCGATTTGGTAGGGTGCACTACAAAATGTAAAAATTTAAACACCTTGTGTGCCATTGTGCCAGAGATGGCTCAGCGAGATAGCTCAGTAGTGGGAGCGCGAATCTACTGACCGGCATGTTCGTGGTTTGAACCCCACCTTCTCCTCTCGACATTACCTGTATGGACTTAGACACCCTGGTAGTATCGCAGCCCTCGTGATTTCATCCGATGGCATCGCAGCTAGGCATCGGAAGGGCGTTATAGTTGAACGAATACTAGTACCACTAGTACCAGATCAACCGCAGAAACTGCTAGCTGAAGCAGTTGTGTACTATTTCCCTATTGCTCCCTTACTCTCCTTTAATCCTGAAATACGACTCCAGTAAATCATCCTACACCCCTTCGGAGATTATGAAAAGTGTTTTGACCGCGTGCTTAACGTTTGGCATTATAAGGTAGGTTAAGATAATTTTCTTCCAATATTCACCAATAAAGCTACTAAAGCCCTTTCGGTAAACAAATGTCTTTGAATTTAATCACAATAATTGTAGCCCACAAAAAGTGCCAAAAATATTACTTCTCGAAAAGTGCTTTATAAATATGACATTCTAAACATTTGGTGGTGAAACAACAGAAACTTTTACACTGTCATCTTTACCGTTTAGTATGCAGTGTTTTTTGCAAATCTATCCTTTACAAATATACATCAGTCAAGAGCGACTGATGATATGGAAAGTCCCAGTGGACTGCATAAGACAAGCAAAAATAGGGGCATCGCTCAAGCAACCAAAGAAGAACTCAAACTTTGGGATATCTGTTAAATATCTTCCGAGTAAATCTATAGTAGTATGTTGCCGTAAAACGATATTTTTATCAAAGTAAGCCTCTGTATGCAGCAAGAAGTAGCTGATAAGCTTTGTGGGAAGTATATTTGGTCATGACGGCGACCTACGAACAATATCACTAAAATACGTGCTTTTATTCTGAGAAATTTTGAGAAATTTACAGTTTGATTGCAATTGAACCCCAGTCTACATAATTAGGAGTTCACCTTCCAAGGTTTGGCATTATTAGGTCTCGATTAATACTCCACAAGTGGAGTATTAAGGTTGCGTTTCTTAGTGTTCAGTTTATTAGCGCTGTCTACCTTTCATATTATGTGTACTCTCAAGATGATTGCGCTCTTACATCAGTTATCTTAAACGCGGTGGAGTGAATTATATCCACCACTGAATGTGATGCCACGTAAACTCTGTGGCTTAATTTGGCCTACGAAACCCACCTATCTGAATGTGATGACCGTTCATTGTACCACGATTCAAACGAAATCCCTTGGGATGGCATAGGAATATAGGGTATAATTTTGTGGACGCAGTGCTTCTTCATGTCCGACAAACAAACAAACTGTGAGCACACAGGATTGACTTATAACCGAGGAATCTATTTACCAACTTTTGGGTTTAATCCTGGGCTTTTCCTTATGTTTATACTCATGAGGGACTGGAGAAAATTGTAAAAATTCAAAACAAATTTAAAGAGGCAAATATCACGGGTGAATCATCCTAGACTGTACGCAATGCACGCATGAACTTATCAAAAAGTGCTCTTCACTCACTATCCTTTAAAATAAAACCATGACGTTCCGCAAAATGTTTTGTGAAATTAGAATAAATAAGCTCCACCAAGTTTAATAGTTTGTATTGGATGGTAGGTTGGATATCCCCAGTGTACCATTTCTTCCGAGAACTGTATCGTCAACATACTGTCGTGTCGAGGTTGTTGATGTTGAGCAACACAAACCTATCTATTCCTGGAATGCTAGAGCGCTATCATACCTCTTAGTAGTGCACCACCAGTGAAGCAGCGAAGTTAGTAAGTTGGACTCCGATTGAGTGCCAATGGATGATCAAACCAAAAGGCTTCAGTCCCCTGAAGCCTAACCCAATACTCAATAAAGAGACAGATCTATTTTGTTAAAAGTCAAAGAAAAATAAAATCGGAAAATTGAAGTTCTCTGGTGAGATCCGGTTCAAGGTCCATTGGGGAACTGTAAGGAAGAAGTTATGAATCTTCTTTCACATTTGCTAGGATCGTATCGTATTGGTCGCTCTGTGCTTACACAACTGCGCCTCTAATACGAGACCTGGTACAAATTTTCCTTCGAAAAAACGCTCAGTTTTGGCTAAATTTGTGGTTCCTATGCCCTAACAAACTCCGTTGCAAAGAACCATTCGTACCTTGACTCACGATCAAGCAAATAAGAGAAATCCGGAACGTATTGAAGATTCAATTGTAGCTGTCAGTAAAATATGTATAAAGAGTAGATTTCAACTTGAGTGAACAGATATGCTACAATTTACAGCTATTTGATCTAGCATTCATTTCGAAGTATTCCGTGTAGACTTACAATCAACTAGAAGAGCCTTCTCAAAAACCATTTTCCGCCTGTTCAACTACCTTGTGAGATATATCGATCACTCTGCAAACCAAGAAGTGGTTGAAACATCAACGAAAGATAGAAGAGAATGAATACTCAGCTTTGTTTACGCAAGGAATAACCCTTAGAAATTCTGAAATGGATATATTAAATAGAGATTTTTCAGCCATGCACTGCTTGCAGATTATAAAAATTGTATTTTACTTTTGTTTCAATCCGAAATTCTAGATAATTCTTATATGAACACAATTTGAGGTGCTCCAGAATGACATTCCTCAAAAACATTGCGTGGAGTACACAACACCGTGAAATCTTTTATTAGTGCAAATGCAATATATGTAAGTCATATGCCAACTGGATTTGGTGTGAGTTTACCAGAACAAGACTGGGGTAGCTGTGTTCGGAAGAGAGCGATGTGAAGGACATGCTAGCTGTCTTTAGTGCCTGGAATTTATCAATCTACATTCCGTGTCCAGTTGCTTGCTAATTATTCTGTGCTATTTGGACTACTTTTCTTGATTTCATTTTTATGGCTTTATGTTGAACGGCTTTGTAGTGAAGCATAGCAATACGTTTAGTTACTCGTCTACAAAGTGTGAGCAATCAGCCAACACATCACACATTTAAAGAATCAGGGAAAACCTCCACACGACGGAAAAAAACATATTTGAAACTTCACTGATGAACATCAGTTTGAATGCATTACGTCCCCAACTCTTCCGTGTATATCCCAGACAATTCTTGTGAAAAATTTAAATCAGATTACTATTTTTTTCGGATTTTGTTGAGGATGTTCAATAATCCTGCTTCTATCCAGGGTCAACTGAATGAATATTTCAAGGTTGAGTTTTATGATTCCAGTGTTGCCACACATACCGTCTATCTGGGAATCACGCTTCAACTTTCGCCAGATTGGGTCGATGCACAACTTCATTGAGGAAATTGAGCAAACTATGCCACATTTCTCCACATAATGTCTGCACGCTACCAAATACTGCGCTAGCTGTATTTTTCGGATTTGTTGAGGATGTTCAATAATCCTGCTTCTATCCAGGGTCAACTGAATGAATATTTCAAGGTTGAGTTTTATGATTCCAGTGTTGCCACACATACCGTCTATCTGGGAATCACGCTTCAACTTTCGCCAGATTGGGTCGATGCACAACTTCATTGAGGAAATTGAGCAAACTATGCCACATTTCTCCACATAATGTCTGCACGCTACCAAATACTGCGCTAGCTGTAAATCGTAGCATAATGAATTATCAGTGTTGTACTAGAGTATTAGTACTTCTACAGGAACAATCCAAAATGTGTACTGAGAAGGACATATAAAACAATATACTCAGCATGCAAGACTGTCCGTCTCAGGATTTATGCATACCCGTTCCTGATTGTGAAGGAGTTCATATACCATTTCGCGATCAACGACTTTTGCTATTCACATCGGATAGGTTTTTGGATTCTTCCCAGAAAAACAATTAACGAAACGTCGGGAAAAATTTGTATCCTTTGTTGCGATGATAGCAAACCAAATGTGTTTACTGAGTGAATAATGCTCTATGTAAATAGTAGTTTGTCGCCTTTCTGACAGTTTCATATAAATACTGCCGGATCAATGTCCGACATTTGGTAAGCATAAGCAATACTGCTTGGCTATTTTGAAATGAGTTTCCTAATCCGTCAACAGAACAAAACAGTATTCTTCAACGAAGGGAACGTCTGATTGGTTGTTCCCCATATATTCAGTATACCCACCAGATTTAGCCGATGCCAGTGCTGTAAAAACAAATATAAACCTTACTTTCACACATCCGCATAATTCGTTTTTCAATCTCCCTCTCTTTCGCTTCACTTTGAAGAATACTTCCTTGAACCGGAACCTCCGCTTTCAACGGATCTCCCGACAGACAACCGACTTCAGTTAATCGTAGATGCATCACTGTTCGCTTAGTCATTGCTTGGAGTTGCCGATAGCGCCGAATAGGGTCCAGTTGCCTCGTGGATTCGTAATCACTTGCTAGTTGTTCCACAAACTTACGCAGCTGTTTCCACTCCGCGGTTAAATGCTCGTTTGTGTTTTTCAGCTTCCGATATTCTGTTCTGGCTGGATCTTCCAACACTGCCATGATGGCTTCACGTGTTTTTGACCTGTCTATGCTAAACAAAGTAGACATTCGCCTAAGTTTCTCGCCGGCGTTGAATCCGCTAGCTTCAATGCTGTTACGGTCCGAGCTGGCAGATGCAAGAGATAAGCGTCCTGTCTTGTTTGAGGATTCATTACTTGGTCGCGTATAAGATGCGGCTGCTGGAGTAACAGATGTGCGTCTGGGGAATTTCTGCAAAGAAGTGGTTGGCAGTGAACACATCACGTATCACATTTCTCGTCTGACTGAAAAGACGCAGAGTATCAGTTTCCACGCTTATGAACCCACCTTGTTTGCATTAGATAATCTTGAACGATCGAACAAACAGGACACAAAAACTGTCCAATGAAAGAACGGACAATTTAGCTTTCCTCATTGGCTCTATTTTTCTTCCTAGTTAATTTCCACGAAGGCTTAGATTAAGTTAAGAAAATAAACTCAGGTTGCCTAAATTCACCCAAAGCAACCCATAAGAATAAAATGTTAAATGCAGTGTCTAGGTTAAAAGTATATTTTTTCCGTCTACCAGTATAGAAGAAAACCTACGTCTACTTGAGTAGAACAGACGACTTGATAATGCAGACAGAAAACTGAAAAGTGATTTAGCGAGCATATATTAGCAGTCAATGGAAGTACTTGAAATCAAATTTCTATACCAATTCTCTCAAAAGTAGACCATGAAACAACTATGAACAAGACTGTTTCCCACGGAATGTTTTGTTCCTGTGGTTTTAAGACCTGTATTCTCTTGCTGGTCTCCTCTTTAGAAATAGCTACATTTTCCCAAGCTGATCAACATATCCTTATGATTGCGACGTTTGGTTTACAAGTTTTTTCGCATTGGATTTGAGAATGCGTTTGTTTTGACCGCTTGTTTTAAATCCCAAAAACTGTTGCAGCTGCACTTTCAACGCAATAGAACTGATTTACCTTAACCAAGAGTTTCTTTAAATGATAACTTGTGTTGTTCTGGTTTAAGAACACTCACGTGCTCGATTCTTGTTGATAGATGTACAGCGGGCTTGACCAATCAGCAAAGTCCCCGAATTGATAATTCGTATATTCATACTCTTTGATTCTGCTTCCTGGCGACATAACACTGATAGTGATCTTTGCTTGTCAGGTGAAACATCAGGTAGAATGGGACTGAACTGGCTAAAGATTTCACGATAACGGTGCAATCGTTAAGAGAGAAGTGAACCTTTTGGATCAAGGCAACCGGCCTAAAGGAACATGAGCATCACACAACATTACAAAATATCTGGACGGGTATGAGAAAGTAGAATATGCAAGTGTGAAGAAGTAACGAGGAAAAACGTCCAAGGACCGTTCAATACCCATAAAACGGCAGTTTTCTCGTGCAGAAAATTTCATTCAAGCGAATTAGATCTGGTTTAAGACAACCATTGAGAGCTTCTATCCACAAATGACAGCAGTTACGTTCCCGCGAACCACCTCTATTCATTATTTTTCTAATATTTTCCAACTAGGAAGAGTTTTTTTTATGGTCTTCTTGATTTTTCAGCATTTCCTAAAGACTAAGTCCGCATGTGTTTCAGCTGCCTTAAGAAACCTATCTCCTTGTTCCATCTAAGCATAACGCATTTACTATTATTGTGCATGCTATTTAAAGGGACGAAAGTATTTACCTATTATTCGCAACTAGGCTTATTCTATGATCTGTCCCCACTTATTTCGAACGTCACATCAATCGCATCCGTTATGCATCCGGTTCAAAGGTATGCAGAGTGTGTGGTCACTTAAATGAACCGGCCTGTGCAAGGGGTGGATTTTTGCAAGCTTCAGGATCCTGTCATCACTTTTATTGATTTTATAAGCTCATTTTACAAAAACTACTTACTTTTCACAATATATCATTTAAAGCAGCTGGCTGCTGAATTCAAATCCGACTTTGATTTCATTTGCGTGATATTTCCCCATTAGGTTTCGGTGGAAAATTATACTTATTTATTCTGTTGCTTTTGGCCTTACTTGAACCGTAATCTCCATTTTACCTGTAGTAATCGGTAATACCAAAAGATGTTCAACAGTTCACATGATCTGTGCTTTTAACTCCTATCTTTTTGGTGATTCAATAAGCAGAAAGATAATAAACTCATTGTCGAGACAGCAGGCATTCGGACTTTTCTAAATTGAAATGCATTATTCCTACTTGCTATTCGCAACAAAATAAAAGACGTTTATCGGATTGATGCAGAAAGCGATTGTGGTTTAACTTACTAGGGCTTATTAATTATAGAAATTGAATTCAAATTCATGTGAGATCTAATATCAACTAGTCTTCAGTATACTTTCTTCATTTCCAAATATAGTCGACTGAAAATTCGGTCTATTGAACTGTCTAGGGCGCATTTTTTAAATGCTTTTGGTGACCCTACAATATATACCTTTCTGATATCATTCTGTTCTTTCTCATCAGATATTTTCAGATTATTGGCATGGTTCAACTTTAAGGGACTCTTAGCGAACCTGATCTTTGAGTCCAAACTATTGAATATGCCTTATGTATTCATTTTGCAGTGGTGTTGCCTTCGAATTCCACAGATTATCTCCTTGGAGAGCTTCTTCCTTTTATGGAACAAGCAACTGCCTCATCTTACGCTTTCCACTGCAGTTATTACATTTTGATCGACTTCGAGTGCCTTAGAAGCCCTTATTAATGCTTGATGGAGTATTTTACACTCAATTATGCTAGAGTACCACGCTTTGTATGTGATATTTTATTGCATCAGCCAGATTCCGCATATTGTGTTCCCAACAGAGAGTCTGGAGCAAACATTTTGTCCCCAGATTTGCCGACTCGTGACAGTAACAAATCTTCATACGTACCATTATTCTGCCGAACTATTCAGTAATGTTCTCATTTAGATAGGCCCCTCTAAGTACCACCCAGATTTTCATAGTCTACGCAAAACTGTAGCAGACTTCTACATTGTTACACCATTGTTGTTGTCCCAAATTAGTTACGTGCGTTGCGTGACTGTTCCGTAGATTTTGCTTCCAGTGGTTTATTATCTTTTTACTGACACTAATAACATGTAGCCTGACAAACTGCATGTTACCCCCTTTATTCCGTATGGACTGAGTTATTACTGTGTTTGTCCTACGTAGAAAGAGATCAGCTTGTCATAAATAAAAGTTTGCTTGTACATATTGAATTTCACTTGTGTCCGACTGTCCGGACTTGTTATTGTTTAGAATGCCGTAGGAGTCACATTTTTTTAGGGAGAAATTACAATTCAGGTTTGAATGCTTGTAAGCACGAGCCTACGCACCTGCAAAGATTCTTTTGACTGGAGTGACAATAGTGTTCTGTGGTGAGTCTAGGCCGTCATTCTTTCTTCAACTTCCCAATGTCTTTGAAAATTGTTGTTTAGAACCGCGTCTATCTTTAATATATTAGAAACAGGTGTGACAGTCTTGAAGCTTAGATGGAAGTGTAGGCTGAACCAGGTGAGAAATTTTTGACGGCGCTACCTCTGTCGAATCAATGGAGTTTCAGGGTTACATATCACGTCTGACGTTACGCAGCCGGCTGTTGTGCTAGCGGTTATCAATTGTAGAGAAGCTGGGATTGAGTGCCTAGCAGGACGACCTGATGGTGACTGACCTAAGGTGACGGGAGAAAAGGTCGGAATAGGCGGTCTAAAGCGGACTTGCGACAGCTCACCAGTCGGCCCGCCGGGAATCATTAAGGCTGTAGTGAAGGAGGCTGAAGATGGTATTGTTGAAGTAGTAGTGACCTGAGTGTCAGCAGGACCAGAAGTGCCAAGAACGGAACGCTGCGGGAAACTGGCCACAGTTTCGGAAGTTGCTGGAACTGCCTGATAAGAAGTAGTAGTGAGCACGTAGACAGTTTGTGGTAGATCTGACACTTAAGAAGTATGAGCCGTTGATATGCGGATCTGTGAGGCAGAAGAAACAGTAGGCGAAGGGGTGACTATCATCAGGGGATGCGGTTCTGCTGTGTTAGCACTCGATGATCGCAGTTGCGGAGCGATGGCTCCTCCAGTTAAAGGGGTGGTTGTTGCTAAGGGCTGGAAGCCGGAACCAGGGATAGGCGCACATGGAGGATTACCACCAAGGGAGCTCGGACGAACTGAGAGTAATCGTATACCGACGAAGCCACGAATGTGATTTTCACACCATTCAGGTTAGACCATTATCTCTCTGCCCAAGTAATGATGGATTTTCGCGACGACCTCACAGATTGTCCCAAATTCTTTCCTTGAAGTACTAATAACAATAGCTATTATAATACGTGCATGCATGTCAGTGGGGTGAACCCAAACATTGGGCAAGGGAAGGACGCCGCCCTTCAGACCACTTTACAGCCGAATAAATGGATAAATCTTCAAAAGCGCCATTTCCATAAAAGTGTCACCCACTCGGTTACCGAAAATTTGATACTTCCGAAAGAATCCAATAAAACTTGCCTGATTATTTTGTTTGTCTGGACTTGGTGCCAAATGTTCTCTGTTTTGAAATTCTAATCATGAAAAACAAAGAATTTTGTGGCTATAAGTTTGATTCAGATAGACTATACAACAAGATGGGCCGTCAAAATGTGTTTTATTGCATCAGAAAGCTACTAGAAATGGGTTAACCTTGACTCATACATAGTCGGTCTAGCTCATGTCGTCACAAATTCATTATCGTTTATCCGCATCTGGATGGTGACACGTGTCTACCAGGTTTGATGTACTCTGCTCCTAAGTTGGACCTTGACCTGGCTAGGTCGCAGTCAAATTCGGAGTGGGAGTACATCAACACCATCAGCCGATACAATCAACCGATCACCATGATACCAGCAGTCGTTCTCACTTTGATGGTTCGTTCCGAGGAGCTATCTGGTAGGTCACGGATGTGGAAAATGTGTGGTTTTGGAAGTTTATCCGTTCAGTTGGAATCTACAAAGGATATATTTTCATACCGCTAAGATTTGCCTCCTAAACGGACAATTTTAACCTGAGAATGTACTTAGTAGGCAAAGTGTCGCACTTGACGTAGTATACGCCAGTCTCAGAAACCTCCTTTTCCTGTGACTACACAGGTTTAAGGATTAATCCTTCAATTTTCGATTCCCTACTCACACACACTCATTCATACACAAGCAAATTACTTTGCAACTGAGATGTTTATCACATCGTCCGTATTGGTGTGAACAAACATTCCCGCGTTATCTTTTGTCCGACTCAGATGAACTATTATGCCGCTTACATCGGCAGTGGGCGTTAATCACCGTGAAATGCTGCAACTAACTGTGAAACAGCCCTGATTGAATTCATGAGCTATCATAACTAAAGTCTACCTTAGAAGCGACTATCAAGTGAATTGACTCTACGGATGTGACCGTGATCAAAACCTGATAGGAGCCCTTTGAAAGTACTTCGTTTCTTCGATGGACATTAGCCGCCAGATCGTTACACAGCTGTTTGAGTGATATGTTGTGGCAATTTGAATGGCTGGTTTGGGATAAAATGAAAACTCTCGTGTGTGGCACGCCGACGGATTTCTTCAGCAATGTGTAGCCAGTCTATTCAGACAATCTTACTCTGTGTCCATCTAATTAATCATACCATTTAATGAGTTCAAATGCGTTAACATGCGAGTGGTTAGGCAAGTTTGCTTAAAAAGACGTTCCAAAGCTAGGTCAAAAAAATGAAAAATTTTCCATAAAGAATATTCCAACTATAATAGCTCTATGCACTGGAAAATCCGTAACGTTTTGAGATTTGTTAGGCATCCTTGAAATTCTGCATTTTTCTCATAGTTTCTTAATGACCTTAATTTAGTCAGGTTATTTTTACTAGTAAATGGCTCCGGACAATTTGAGTAGTTCTTAGATTAACTTTTTGTGTCATTTAGTTGGGAAGGCGTAATGCTCGAACCCGAAAAGTCCCCAATACTCAGTGATATGTTGACAGCAGTAACAGTACTGTAGATCTTGAACTTTTTTAGGGAACAACCCAGCAAATGCGAGTTGGCAAAATATACGTCCTAGGAAAGAAAAAGTTTGGATACTGTAAACTATAAACGCCATGCAGCGCCAAACGGCTCTCTTTTTTGCCAAAATGGCTTTCCCTTGGGCAAGTACGTCTGAGACAGTAGCGTTAATCGCCCAAAGACCGCAAGCAAACGGGCCCCATGCACATCTAGTAAACAACTGTTCAGATTGGTAGAGTCATTTATTGTTTCCAAATTACAGCCAATAATTCGTTGAACAAACAAGCTTTCATTTTCTACTGATTTTTTTCTTCTACTACTACACTTATGAGTAATATTCCTTAATATACTGCTATATCACAGACATCATACCAACTGAAACGTGGGACGGTATTCGCACAGCAACTTCAGTTGACGAACACAATAAACGAGAGCTTCAGAGTGCATTCAGTTGGAGCATCTGTCAAAAGCAAAATAGTGCGCAAATGAGTGTATTTCGGAAGGCTTCCGTTTTATTGCTGTTACGCTGGTAACTTGAGGACTACATTTCAATATTCCCAAAGGACTGCAAGTACTTTTTATTTTTTTGTCTACCCAGTCCGACATTCCCACAGAGTGGGATGGCTTTTCGTCCACAATCGTGGGTGGCAGTAAGTTAATGAATCGATAGGTTTTGTCACATGCAGTTGAAGTTGAGTAGCGGCTTGACAGAGGGAATAAATCTGCTACCTCAAGACAATTTGGTTCTTTTTTACATCTCAATATGAATATAGTCTCTTGGTTGCTCTTTTTTGTCCGTTTCTCGTATATTTTATTAAAAAAACTAGTACTTCTGCATGCGGTATCCAAAATGCTCTCTTTGGAGCACAAAACTTCTGGTGCAACAAAAGCATATATTGTTGTATTTAAGCGTCCGAATCTGCCACAATTGGCCCATGGTCAGTGTTATTGAATATGGAGCCACTAGAATAGAATCTGTAAGTATAACAACTGTAAAAATCTAAACAGTAAACCTATTACACTGGGCTGTCAATCGTTACAAAGGTGTCAACATTCCGATCTCCCTGAACAGTTGACTGCTATCCTGCCAACATCTCTTTAATAGTTATAGTATTAATTTATTTGTAGGATTGTGCTGACATTACTCAGCTGAATAAAGTCTGGTAGACTTAAATTCACGATCTTGAGCTTTTCCAACCAAAACAGCATCGATAAATCGCTGTTGCTAGCAAACGAAATGACACATGCCGTCAAACAAATAAACCACGAAAAGTAAGTCTGTGTTAACTTTCCCCACAACTGAGGTGAAAGGATCTATTCTCGCCAACCCGAAACACCTACGATTCGTCTCAGCGGTTCAAACAACTTGACTTTGTCTACACATCCGCGGCAAGCATATGAAAAACACACCTTATCGTCGCTCAGTCGATGCGGCTAATAAAAGCTTGTCTAATCGCTCTTTCTAGATCCGATGCAAACTGAAAAATGCTGATTTGGAATTTAGAAGTAAATCTGCAAAAGTCGTGGAGCTGATCACGTTAGCTTTTTTGTGTGGCAACTGCCTGCTCCTCAGTATGGACTCTAGGGCTTGGATGGAATTTACCAATTGTCTCACACAGCAGTTGTAGGTTTTCAAGACATTAATATGCTGTAGTTTACCGATAATCACCTGTGCCGGAGAACGTAAGTGAAGTCGTTTACTACTGAATGCTGCAATCTTTAACAGACGCTTCTGCTCTACTGGAACTCTGGTCCGAACTGAATGCAAGCTGTTCCAATAGTTCTATACGTCTGAAGCGATCATCATTACTGTCATGCACATGTATCCGTAAAAAATAAAACGTGCCTTCGTACAGAAAGGCAACTAATAACATACTGAAAGGCACAGCTAACCAGGCGTTCTGTGGAATGATTAATCACCCAGAAAGTACAGACACATCAGTTATGGTTGAATTTCTCGCTTAGAGCTAGATGACTGAAAATCAAATGTTTGTTTATTTGTTCTCGCCAAATGATTTTAGGCAGGTGAATTTTGTCTTGTGGATTCCGTGATTCTATAAGTCGTTTGGTTTTATGGTGGTTTGCAGTGCTCTCTTGACAAAGACTGGTAGAACAGAAGTGAAGTTTTTTAAATTCGCACATTTTACTCGTGACAGAGAAACCCTAACTTTTTTGATACAGTTTATTCTTTTGCGTTCACCTACCGCCCGTGCTTCATTGCAAAGAAATTTATCACAGTGGGATTTAGAAAAGTTCTGTTTAGGTATTTCGAAAACCATGTTCATTTAAACACATCACCAGAAGGGACTAACCAATCTGCTCCTTGACATTGCCTTGAGTCAAGCAATTCTTTATTGCTTTCTGGGAATTTCAAGCGGCACAGCGTCAGTGATTTTTCCAAGCCTATGATTGTTTATTTGGTGCTGCACCTAACCCGAAGTGTCCTGAACTTTGCATAAATCCCCCTACCTTCTGCTCCGAAGGTCAGGACAGAAAAGCCTTACACTCGGTACAGGACTTTGTTCATCCCTATTACTGTGCACATTATATTTTAAAGCTTTACCTTCATCTATATTCTTTCCAGGGCTTCTAAAAGTGAGAAATATAGCGTTACCAACCCATCGTTTTCATCCAGCTACACTGCAAACTTCCTTCTCTGATAATCATCGAAAATTGGCAAAATATATGCAACTCAAAATCAAACAAAAGTCGTATTTGATGTTTTTCTCAACGCGATATCTTGGTGTACACTGAATCTGTTCATAGAAACTTAACATCCAGTGGCACAAGTTGAATTAGTCCACTATTCCGCTTACTATGCATGGTTTTCTTCGTCAATTGTGAGTGCTATTTGAGAAATTTATTGATCGATTATCAGCGTCCCCAAAATCAAGGTTAATGCTAAGCCACGCATGGGATAATCTGAGCTGCCGTTAAAACTGAAACAGACCATTTGCATATGTCATTTAATGCTCCAATGACTGGAAATAATTTTTGAATTTTCATTGAGTAGCCGTGCCACTACGGAGGAACAGAAGCCTGGTTTGTAGGAAGCGTTTATCAACTTAGGGACAACATACACTAAACTGAAATGTTATCACTATTGGTAAGTTTACCCATGCGATCAATATCTTGGTATCTCAGCAACAGGCAGTTTAATATTTGAGAGCATTTTCACTCATTTGGTTCTGTTACAGCAGATGACAACTCAAAGATAAAGATGACGTTTACAGAACCTTAGGAAAGAACTGACAGAACAAAATGTGTTTGCCTCGAAAGAACGCCATTAGGCTTATGTTGGTGAAAATAACACAACACGTTTTTTGCGATATCTTGGATTTACTTTGGTAGTGGTTTTCTCTAAACTGTACTGTTACAGATGTAACTGAGAATGCGTTTCGGCTGCATTGTGTTTAAGGGATCTTGTGGTGAACGATCGTGCGCTAAGGAATATGAAAATTAGTGTTTGGTGTAAGTATGCAGTGATAAAAAGCACAAACGATGCCACGTGTGAATTTTCACCCTTTAATGATCTAACAAAATGAAAGCAGAGGAAACACAGTATACTGCGGCTTCTTGGAAGAGTGTATCATCTTTTTGTATCATGGAACGCATGAACGAATCTGCAGAAATCCTTCCGAATCATCCATTTATACGAGTATACTACGGAACGGCTAAGTTAATGAAAGTATTTGCCTGCCCTAGTTGTAATGCCATTGATAATCTTTTTACCTATTAATAAACCATACAAAGCAAAGTAGATTCACAAACTTCGACTGATTCAGCAAACCCACCTTCGCAGAACGCAAAACATGTAAGTCCAATTTCAGCTTATTCGCTTGCTCCAATTAGAAACCCCAACCTGTCCGTACAAAACAAGCATTTATACGGATCACTTGAGCCTTGGGCCTAATTTATAGAAAAGTTTTCTAAAGATTCCAAGTTTATTGTTTTCCGATTCTCACCAATTAAACTATCACAAAGCTTTCACACTAAATAACTGTCTGAATATCAAATTGAATTTTACGGACAGCTGAAATATACAATGAGAACATGTTAAACCACCAATTTTCCCGTTCACGTGCAGAAATCGTCTGCTCCCAATCATATTATCACCTTCGACTTACCAATTAGGACAGCAGATCGGCGCTTCAAAACATTTCAGGTAAACTGTAATCAAACTTTTAATAGGTTACCTAGCTGACTAGGTAACTCAGTCTCACTTG